TTAATCTGAGGAATAGAGTCAAACGCTGCCTTAAGATCAACAAAGGCTACATAAAGGGAAGCAGTATTCTGAGAAATATATTTCTCAGTAAAGTGTTGAAGTATAAGACATTGGTCAATTGTTGAATAATCTTCCCTAAAACTAGTTTGCTCCTCCACCAATAGTCCTTCCTGTTCCATCCAATCTCCGAGCTTCAACTGAAGATGTCTTGCATGAAGTTTACGTACAATATTAAGGAGGCTTATAGATTGATAATTGGCATGCTCAATCTTATTCCCTTTCTTACGTATAGGTACAATGATCACTAGACTCCAGTCTTTAGGTTTACAGCCAGATTTATCAACTGCTGTGAAGAGTGATGCCAGTATAGGAGTCCACCATGCTGCATTATTTTTAATTAGCTCAGGTGTAATAGAATCTGCCCTTGGTCCCTTCCCAGATTTAAAGTGAGAAATTAAATCCATAACCTCTTTGGATTTTACTGCTTGTCAGATAGGAAGCTCTTCCATGGCAATATGTGGGGATCTGTTAGACACTGAGTTGTCCTTGTAGAGTTCCCTGTAGTGGTTTTCCCATACTTCTGGCAGTATAAGGTTATCCAGCTGACATAGGTCAGGGCCAGGATGTCCTGCAGTAATACGCCAGAAATGGGATGAGTTGTTTTAACTTGACTGAATAAGACAAGTCCATAATGCTTTCTTGTCCTCCGTTTTCTTTTGCCTAGTTAATTGCTTGCAGCCTGACTTCTGGTTAAGTAGATCTTGTGCTGTAATTTTGTTATTATTTGCCTTACATGAATTATAGCTATTAATCTTTTCCAGGCTATTATACAGTCTGTGTCAAACCATGGTTTTGATGCATGTGCACCTTGCTTGTCTTGTTTCAAAGCACATGTTTCTGTAGCTCCTGCACAAGGTTATTGTATAATTCTACGTCACTGATTGAGTCAGTTATAGCAAAGAGGGAGCACATGTGTGAAAAGTGTATAGTAGCTAATTGTTCTGCAATTAAATTATTGAGTTGATTGGTCCATTTTACTCTGCAAGATATAGTAGATGGAAAAACATTACACTGGTGCATTAATTTGGTGGGGATCTGTTGAAGTAGGGATAAGTGTAGGGTGAGTGGAAAATGATCACTATCAATTGGGGGAAATTTTAAAATAATCAAGCAGCTTTGAATTAAATATAGCTGTTTTACAGCTGAATTAAGGTGGGAAAGCTGAATTAAGGAGAAATCAAAACTGATAGGATTAAGAATCTGATGTGCCTATTTTCAACTTTGACCCTACTCATTTATTCCTTGCCTCACACATCTAGAGTCACTGGCTGACATAAGGCATAAGATCGCATGGAATTCTCCACCCAGAATGATTGTGTTCATGCGCCACCCATCCCATCATTACAACTGCTTGTTCTGTAAAAAGGTTTTGCCTTCTCTCAGTCCTGAATCTCTCTGCATTTAGTTTCAGGGGATGATCTTGACTTTTATCTTATGAGGGAGTGAGAGAACGAGTCTAGGAATGGAATTGGGTTTTTACATTGAGGTTTTCATCATATTTGTCCACTGTAACTCCGAGACTGCTTTCCTGTTTGGTCCCTGCTAGCTCAGATCTCTTTGTGCCGTCATGCATTGTTGAGCATTTGTTTATACTGAACTGCCTTTGCCATTTTAAAGCCCTTATGTCCAGTTCATAGAAAGCCTTTTGAAGCTCTTCCAATCTCTTTTCCTTACCATCCTGAAGACTCTGGTATCATTCGCAAATGCAGTCACATCATTGCTCAGCCTTAATTCCAGATCATTGATATACAGTTGAAAAGCACTGGTCCACATGCTGATGCCCTTTGCTCTCCATTTTCACAAGTATGAGAGTGGTTCATTTACTCCTACTCTCCTGTTTTCTCTAACCAGTTGCCAATCCATGACAGGCCTGCCTTGTCAGCCCCTAGCAGCCAAGTTTACTTGTCAGCTCTTGGTGAGTTTTGTCAAAGGCTTTTTGCCCATAGAGGTATATGCTGTCCATGGGGTCACCAATGTTTATGTGCCGGTTCACACCCCCCCAAAATCTACTGAGACCCAACTTACCTTTGCAAAAACCAGGTTGGTTCTATATACTGGTCTATTACTATAAGAAAGTTTTATTTGTTCACGTTGGTTTCTTTTCAGCAAGGTTTATATATCCACGCGTTTGTCCTTTTAAAAAAGTTTTCAGCCATTTTCCCCAGGTGAGGTACAGTGGTACCTCTAGTTACGAACTTAATCCGTTCTGTGACTCTGGTTGCAACTTGAGTT